CGCCGGCCCTCCCGGCTGCGTACACTATTTACAGCTCCCGGTTCCTTTTTCTCGACCCCCTCCTGCAAGGCAGCGCGTGTGCAACAAAGTAGCATCGTCCGTCTGTGCAAGTCCTTCCAGTTAGGCAAGCGCCAGGGCCGGCCTGCGGCCGTCAGCTGTCCGAGTCCAAGTCGCTTTTACCTTCCTCTTCTCTCTTCTCGGGCGACGCCTTGGAGGACGGCTTGTTCCACTTCTCGGCGTTTTCTGACTCCTCCGACGAGGACCGCTTCTGCCGCCTCCACTTGGCCCGGCGGTTTTTAAACCAGACCTGTTGCGCAAGGCAGGACAAAACAACAGTTACAATCAAAGGCGCGCTCCCCCAGGGCCGGGGCGCCCCAGGGCTCGGCGTGGCTCGGACCCGGGGACCCGGAGCGCGCCCCAGCCGACGAAAAGAAAGGAGACTCGCTCCCTCTTCCGCATTTCCCTTCGACTTCCTGGGCCTAAAGCGCCCTCCAGCAGCCTCCCGACCGCCGCTGGGATATTTTTAAGGGCAAGGGAGACCCGCGGAGGGCCGGGCAAGCCAGGCTGGGGCCCCTGTTATCTGGGAAGGGCCTTCGGGCACACCCGGCACGGCCCCGCGCCTACCTCCACTTTCTCCTCCCGGAGGTGCACCTTCCGGGCCAGCTGCTCGCGCGTACCCACGTCTGGGTACTTAGTCTCCTGGAAGAGGTTCTCCAGCGCTTCCAGCTGCTCGTCGGTGAAGATGGTGCGGTGCCGCCGCTTCCGCCGGCAGTGCAGCTGGTTGAGGAGCTGCAGCTCGGTGCGGGACAGCGTGCCCACGTTCATGTAGGGCAGCATCTGGTGCGGCACCGGCGACACCAGCACCGAGCCGGGGCCCTCGTAGCCTGCGACAGAGGAGAGCGCGCGGTCAGGTCCGCCGCTTCCCCGGCCCCGTGGCGCGCGCGCGCCCGCCAGCCGCGACCGCTCCAACTTTGAAAATCGTCTACCAAGGGGGTGCTGGGAATCGGAGGCGCGTGGAAATCGAGGGTGCAGGGAAACGGGGGAGTGTGCCAAGGCGTCCAGAGCCACTTAGGGAACCCTGAGAGCCTAAGTCTCCCTATGCGGACACAGTTTCCGCTAACTCCCGCATAAAGTTTGCAGCAAGTGTGCAAAGCCCTGGGCCCGATAAGCAACAATAACCACAAAAAAACCCCACACACAACAAAAACGAAAAAAGAAAAAAACAAAAGGAAGAGCTGAGGAGGGTCCAGGTTTGCAAGAGGAGAAAAGTTTGTACAAAGTGGAGAGAGCTAGCGCCGCCCCCCGCTCGCGCCCC